ATATATATATTAGTTGACCAACATTGTGGTCAACTATATAGTTTTTTTAAAGCAGGCACTTCATCTGTGAAGTCGTTCTTGTTCAGTCAGTAGACAGACACAGTGGAGGGGATATGCAGGGTGTTTAATGCTGCCGGAACAAGTGTGCTGGCTCAACTCCCTCTGTATAAGATGTGCACCCAGGTCACAAAGTTGATGCACCGGCCACCATAGCAACCTTGCCTCATCAGTCAGAAGCACCTTCTGAAGAGAAAGAAAGGCCCGTGTTCCTCATACTCAGAGCGGTGTACCCACAGGGGCTGGAAACCTTGTAGCGAGGCTAGAATAGAGCCGCCAGTCCACACCGCAGTGTCTCTCTCAGGCAGCACATTTATGTGTGGGGAGTCGTTGGGACACATGCTGCTCAGCTCCTTCTGCAGACGGTTGGGAAAACCTTGGAGCATGGTGCTGCCCCCACAGAGCAGGATGTTGCCCATGAGGTCTCGTTTGAGGGCGATATCACACTTGTTGAGGCAGGACACTGTCTGGGTGTGGAGGCCCAGCTGCATGGACTTGATGAGAGACGGTTTGAAGAACATCTCAGAGCAGAGGAACCTCTCCTGGCCCAGGCGGATCTCCTTCCCATCAGGAAGGGTATACTGGATGTCATGTTCACTGGGAGGAACTTTCTTTTCTTCGATGGGGTCCATGGCCACAAAGCAGCACTTCTGCTTGATGTCTTCCACGATGTTCATCTGGTCCTCAGTGAAGTGTAGTCCCTCATTGTTCAGCAGGTGCATCAAGTAGGCAGTCAGGTCAGAGCCCGCATAGTCCAGCCTTCCCGTGATGCTGGGCAGTGGGTAACCCTCGTAAATGGGGACCACATAGGACACACCGTGGCCTACCTCCACCACCAAGCCGGAGGTCCTGCCATAGGAGTACATGGACAGGCGGGACTGGTAGGCAATGTGCATGGCGGGTGTGCCGAAGCTTTCGAACAGCATCTCAGCGTACTTCTCTCTGTTGGTGTGTGGGCTCAGGGGTGGGTCAGAAACCAAGACTGCGTGCTCCTCTGGGGCAATCTTCATCTCTTGTCGGAAGAGATACTCCCAGATATCCTGCACGGTATCCCAGTCCACAATGATTCCATGTCGCAGAGGATTAACTAATTTGAGACGAACCTCTGGGTTGAGGAGCTCCTGCCCCACGAATGTCTCTTTGCGATTATTCCCAGTTTTGGTTGTCTCCATGTAGGGCTTGCCCACCGTGGTTGAGATCTTGTGGCTGGGCCGTGGAAGGCCAGCAAAACCACATTTACAGTAACCAGTGCCAAGGTCCACGACCACGGCTTTGGTTTCCTCTAGTTTGGGCTTCTGCCTGGGCTCTGCTGATTTGACAGCTTCCTCTGGCTCTGCGTTACAGCCAACCCGCACCGCCCGCTTGGCAGGGCCATCCTTTATGGAGGCAGTCTGGAAGGCCTGCGCCTGCGGGGAGGCCTGGTCGTCTGCTTTCGTGGCGAACCCATCCCTGGTGTTTGCTGCCTGTGGTTGCCACATGCTGTCAAGAGCCATATGCTCTAAGAGAGTTCTTCAGCCCCAGTGGCTGCAAGGCCTGTAAGGCCTAAATCAGAGGTCAACTTGAGAATTCCCCAACAGTGACATCACTGATTATGACATAATGCAGTGACCAGGGCTATCTGGATACTGGAAACCTTTGGTCCAGGGATGGTGTGTGTTTGGGGTATTGTTTTTGAAATGACTCCCTTTTCTCCAAATTTTGTAATTAGGAATTAGATTCTAATTTCGAATTTGAATTACATATTCATTCAGTTATTATATAGTGAGTGCCTGTGACATGCAGGGCAGCTGGGAATACAGGAGTGGGGAAGAATCTGCCTCTGTAAAGCTTATATCCTGGTTGGTGGAGTAGGAGGAAGATAGACATTAAATGAATTTGGAACAGAAGAAATACATGTTGGAAAGAGGAGTGAAAAAGAAAAGGCTAGGCAGTGTGGCAGTGCTAGTGTGGGCTGCCAAGGGCCCCAAGATAACAGTGGCAGTTGAGTAAAAACCTAGGGGTGCAGGAGCGAGCCACATGCTGCCGAGGGAGCCAGAGGACAAAGCCCTGAGTGACTGATGAGTCCCATGGGGACCACCAGATGAACCTGCAGCCTGCGGTCGTGTATAAACTTGGTGGATCACTGCCACGTTCCTTCCCTTTCATGCTACCTATGGCTGTTTTTGTAATACAGCAGCAGTCATCGCAACAAAAACAGGGTCCCAAAATGCAAATGAAAACAATGACTGACACTTCACAGAAAGTTTGCTGGCTCAGTTAAAGAACTGGCAAAAGCTTGGCAAGTGTGAGGTCATGAGTTCAACTCTTAGTGCGTCTGTCTTTGTCTTGTCTCTCTCTCT